CCTGGGTGGTCAGACTGGTATAGCAACTCTCTTTTCTTACCTGCTCCTACCCTGGACTTTATCTGCCCTTCCTCTTCAGCCCTTTGCCCCTGAGACCACCCCTTGCTTAGCTCTTCAGCTTATATATACCCTGCCCTAGGATGGTGATTCCCACTCTGGAATCCTGTCCAAGTTCCCAAAGCCCCACAATGTTTTTTTTTTTTTTTTTTTTTTTTGTCTTTTGTCTTTTTCCGTGTCCGGCAACGGATTGCAACCATACCGGACCGGGGACCGGCAATGGGATCGCAACCCTCGGTGTTGCTCCCGCGCCTCGCCCAGCCAGTGAGCGGGAACCAGTCTATATGTGGGATCCGAACCCTCGGGCGGGAGCGCCGCCGCGCTTCCCAAGCGGCACACTATCCAGTGCGCCACCGGGCCGGCCCCACAATGTTTTTTTTTTTTTTTTAAAAAAAAAGAAGAAGAAACTTTTTTCTAATTCTGTGAGCTTCTCAAAGGCAGGGACCACATCTCCACATCTCTTTCCTCTCTATATCCCCAGTGCTTCATATGATGCCTGATACAAAGTAAACTCAAACACATTTGTGGAACAAATACAAGTGTATTGAGCTTTTCAGATGCCCTATTAAAAAACCTTCAAGCCTTTATTTTATGAAATAAAAATGCCAAGTTTCTTATCTTTTGTAAATTACACTCAATAAATTCAATGTGGGCATCCTGGATATCTCATTCTAATCAGAAGTTATAATAAAAAATAGATGGATAAATACATACACACATAAGCAAGAATCTTTAAAAGCATGAGTTCTATGTTGAGGAGATTTTTGTTTTCTAAGAGAACTTAGTGGCCAAGATTTTGTAAAATTGGGGCTATTTTACAATAGCTATTGCCCTAGGGCCAGCTTGGTAGGAGTTTTGTGGAGTGCTGACCAGACTTTAGAGCCAGAAAGGCCTGGTTTGAAAGCCATCTCTATCACTCTCCAGCTGTGTTACCTCAATAAGTCATTGTTACATTACCTTTATAAGCCTTGTCTTCCTCATCTATCATCAGGAAGCATAAGTCTTTGTTGTTGTCAGTATTAAAAATACTATGTATAGGGCTGGCCCGGTGGCGCACTGCTACGGTGCGCCGCTTGGGAGCGCGGCGGCGCTTCCACCGAGGGTTCGGATCCCACATACAGACCGGTTCCCGCTTACTGGCTGAGCGAAGTGCGGGCGCAACACCGAGGGTTGTGGTTCTGTTGCCGGTCCCGGTCCGGTATGGGCGCGACACTGAGGGTTGCAATCTGTTGCCGGACACGAAAAAAGACAAAAAGGAAAAAAAAAATACTATGTATAAAGACTAAGCAGTTTCTGATGCACGGTGGAGGCAGATAATGATTTGGGGGATGATGACGATACTCAGGGCTATGGAAAAGAAGTAAAGCCCTGGAATTTGCTGGGAAACCAACTCCAGAATTGGAGTTAGGGTCTCTGACCCCCATAACTCTTTACCCTTTCCTTTTCCCAACTTTTCATATTCTTTGTGATCCAGAGTCCTCACCCCACTCCCCATCCTCTCCTCGCCATTTTCTGTCTTGCAGGACCCTAATAATGACAGATATTGTGTGCTACTAATTAGTTGCTTTGCATTCACTAATGTCAGTTAATCTTCAAAATACTGCTTATGATGCTCAGATGCTATTGTTATTCCCATTTTACAAATAAGGAAAGCAGGCCTCAGAGAGGCAAATAACTTGACCGACGTAACACCACTAGGAAATATCAGAGAAGAACTTCACACCAGGTCAGCCTGAGTACATTGTGGGTGCTGATTCCACCACATTATACTGTCTCCTGCTAAGCATTGTGACTTCCTCAGATGGAAAAACAGAATTCAGATGATGAAATATTTTCACATAAACTATGAGTGCTAAAACATTGACCCACCTTAGAAGACTATCAAAAACAATGAAAAGAACTTAGGTTACTTTCTGACAGTAAAGAATCACAGCCTAATTTGCTTCTATTTGACAATCTTTGTGTTTCCCTGAGGGAAACAAATCTCAGAGTCTTGCAGTGAGGGTGGGACTTGACCCCAAACCTGTCAAGTGAGTCCCTAGAGTTCTACCCTAGACTACTGATAACTCATGTCATCGTTAGCAGAATTCAAGAATTCTTGTGGTCCTATTTTGTTGTCATGCAATAATTTAATACTTGGTTCATGTCATGACTTGTTTGCAGATGTTATTCCTCCACAAACAGCTGGTTATATAGAAGTCACGGATCTTCAATCAAAGAAACTTCGATTTATCCCTATTCCCAGGTAATCTTTTTCACCTTTGTTCTTAGTTTGGTATGTCATAAAAAATGAGTGAATTTTTACCAAGTACTCTGAATAAATGTGGGCTTTGGCTTCCTTAAATAGCAAGCCCCCACCCCCACCCCCAGTTACAGTTGGTTTATATCTTACTGTTCTTCCACGTTCTTTACTGGCATTTATATTTTCATTTTAGAAAAAATATTCGAGTGTTACATAGGTATGAGTTTAACAGGCTTCAAGCCTTCGTTCTCTTTTGTTTGATCTGCCCTAATAATAACCTTTTCTGTATCTGAAGTAACATTTTCAGTATTGCAGAAGTTGTAGTAATTATTAACTTTATATATTAGTTTTCTGAAGTAAATGTGTCCAAAATGTCAAATGAATTTAAATAGCATTTGTTTGATATTGTTTTTAAATATGTTACTGAACATCTGCAGTCATGAAGGCAGTATAGTAATCAAAGGATTCTGGAGATTTAGAGTGGAACTCATTACTATTCACCGCTTTTATTATTGTCCAGTGAATTATTTAAACTAGCTAGTCTCAGGATATGAAACCAGAAACAATAATGCCCAGTCTCTACCCTTTCTGGGTGCATCTACGCCTTGTCTCCCTCTCTCATCCTAAGCTGCATCTGGTTTGGTCTACTATCTGAGGTTCCTTTTCTTTCCTTGTCTTTGCCCCCCAGGACAAAGTCTCCTTCTTCTAATCATTTTCTTCTACTTTGATCTAGGTAGAGATCACCTCCCCTCCTCTCATATACTCCCTCACTTGCGGCTGAACCCTCACAACACAGAGGTTAAAGCCTTGCCTGAAATCTCAAGCAGGGGAGCCAATGTCAGAGCAAGGTCAGGGACACTGGACCTGTCAGTCACTCAAAATGTCACCAGACCACCTTTCTTCCCACTCCTCCAGTCCCCAGAAGAAAGTAGCTCAGCATGATGGTAGAAAATAATTCAGAAACATAGGACCATTTCTTAGGACCCTTTAATCAGATTCAAAAAATATGAAAAAATGAAATCATTATTCAAAGAAATAGATTTACTTGTTCTAACACATGTGTAAGTAGGACTTCTTAGAACATCTTAATGTGTTGGTTTAATGGAAAGTGGCTTTTAGTCATTTGAGGAAATACCTTATTACATCTTCATTGTAAAATATACTATTAGTTCAAGTAACAAAAGCAAAGAACACCTTTTTTTTTTTAACATTGCTAAAGCATTGATAATTTTCCCCAATATTTCTCTTAATTTCTCCCTCACTAGTTTTTTATTTCAGTGTTTCTCTCTTTTAACTTTCTGTATGAACCACATGTTATACTTGCCAGGGAAAAAACATCTGGAAAAAGAGCTGCGTGTATAGCCAAGCACCAGCTGGTCACCATAATTCATTCATGTAGAGCTGTCCACTGTCCAATGGAAATATAACGCAAGCCATATATGTAATTTTATATTTCTTAGTAGCCATATTAAAAAAGTGAAAAGAACAGATGAAATTAATTTTAGTAATATATTTTATTTAACCCAGTGTATCCAAAATATCATCATTTTGACATGTGCTCAATATAAAAATTTTAATGAGATAGTTTGTATTCCTTTTTTCTTCTAAGTCTTTGAAATTCAGTATGTATTTTACACTAACAGCACATCTCAAATTGGACTTGCTACATTTCAAGTGCCATGTGATTTAGAGTCTGTTTTATTGTCAGTATATCTTGAGTTTCTCTTGAGATTAACTATTGTTATTTTTGGCATATATATAATTCAAAGGAATGACCCATGTGGATTTAACATTTTTTACTAGTTGCTTAAATTTAGCATTCTGCTAGATATCAGGAATTTTCCATTTGATGGCTAATTTCAAGTAGTAGAAAATACAATAAAACTACTTGTAACTGCAGGGCCAATGTGAATACATCATTTTTTTTTTCCTTTTTGTCTTTTTCGTGACCGGCAACGGATCGCAACCCTCAGTGTTGCGCCCGTACCGGACCGGGACCGGTAACGGGATCGCAACCCTCGGTGTCACGCCCGCACCTCGCTCAGCCAGTGAGCGGCCGGTCTGTATGTGGGATCCGAACCCTTGGTGGGAGCGCCGCAGCGCTCCCAAGCGCCACACTCTACCGAGTGTGCCACCCGGCCGGCCCTCAAAGAACAAAATTTTACCTAGCCCAACAAGTTTAGTGTGAACTGCCTTGTTTGTTTTTGTTTTTGGTCTTGAAATGTGTCACTCTTTACTCACTTTAGTTATAAACATGTAGGGAGCTTATAACTGTGTTGTAATTATGGTGGGACAGAATGTTTAGGAGTGCGCCACCGGGCCGGCCCTGAATACATCATTTTTGCCCTTACGTATTTTTCTTCAAATTTTTGTATTATTTGCATTTGTAGAACGATACTGCCTCGTTCTTCTGTGTGGCTGTATATAAATCTAGGCTTCACTCTGTTATGATTCTATGTGTTAATTTAAAGCTTTGTTATTATGTATGCATAAGGGGAACACACTTTTTTTTTTAAGTGAAGAAGAGATTCTAAACCTGGTGTGCAAATTTTAGCAAATATGTTATTTCTTCAGTACTTTTTTTTGACATATTGAAAAAATTGCCCCTGTAAATTTAAAGTTTTGCATTGAAGAGTTAAATAGGGGCAACCAGAAGATACAGTGTTCAATAGATCAAAGTGAAGAAGAGATTCTAAACCTGGTGTGCAAATTTTAGCAAATATGTTATTTCTTCAGTACTTTTTTTTTGACATATTGAAAAAATTGCCCCTGTAAACTTAAAGTTTTGCATTGAAGAGTTAAATAGGGGCAACCAGAAGATACAGTGTTCAATAGATCATACCATTGAGCATTCTTGGCAGAATTTCAAACGTCATAATTTAATATGGATAAATTACATTATTCTTGATTAGCTTTTTACTTAACCATCTGTAACTACTAATTTCTTTTTTCCTAAAGCAAATATTTTTTGGAGAGAGCACCATGAAATAAATCCCTTATTGTATCAATTGTTACCTTTGAGTCCTTCTGGGAGTCCTGTAAACTAGTTCTTAAACACATGGTCCCATCCTACTGTTCTCTTCCTCTTCGTGTAAACATTTTCTAAGACTTCTGTGTTTGAGAGTAACTGCCCTTGTCACTCTGTTTAGAATCAACTAAGACAGACTGAAAAAAAGATCAAAATAGTCTGATTTATTCTTTAGTATGAATTTACCTAATATATAATGATTTTGTGGTTTTCCCAAATCTACATTGATAGTTTGTTATGTTTTTCTTATCTGATCCAACCATCCCTTTAGACCATTTATTTCATGCAGAAATAAATAATTATGTCATCATATGCATTTAGAGAGCTAATGCTGGCAATTGGAAAGTGACTGTGTCACTTTTGTACAGTAAGAGCTATGCTCTGATAAAGGAAGTATGTTGTTAACTCTTACGAACAACAGTTGCATTCCTAGAACTTATTTTATATATACATATGTGCGCATATCTCAGAAATATATAATAAAGGAAATATGTGTGAAGTATATAAGAAATATATAAGTTTAATGTTACAGATTCATGTAACTTTCTAAGTCAGAAAAGGCAAAATATCAAATACAAATGCAGTTGAAATGCATAAACAAGACATTGGTTTCAGCACTGACATTAGAACCCTAAAGAGTGAGTCCACTGCTGCAGTTGTGTGAGGTATGACTTGGTGTAGAGTTCCTTTCTTCCTGATGGTGAAAGCTAGTGTCATGTGAGGTCCACAAATACAGGAAAATGTAAATAATCAGTAAATTACTGTCTATTTTTGTATCTTACAGAGGGATCTGTTAGTATCTTATATTTTCATGTACTTATTGTTAGAGTCTTAATTCAGGCTGCTATAACAGAATACTGTAGGCTGGGTGGCTTAAAGACAAATATTTCTTTCTCACAGTTTGGAGGCTGAGAAAGTCAAGATCAAGGTGCCAGCCAGTTTGGTTCCTGATGAGGGCTGTCTTGCAGACACTGCCTTCTTGCTGTATCCTTGCATGGGCATGAGTGCCCAAGGGGAAGCTGTCTGGTCTCTTCTTATAAGGGCACTAATCCCATCATGGGGGCTTTTCCCTCATGACCTCATCTAAATCTAATTACCTCCCAAAGACCCCATCTCCTAATATCACCACACTGGCAGTAGGGTTTCAACATGTGAATTTGAAGGGACACAGACATTCAGTCCATAACAAATTCTTTATTGTAACTTGAGTGAATCTAAATCAGTTTAAACAAGCTTCGTTACCTGTACCACCAACAGGTTAAATACTATGATTAATTATAAAAGTACCTTTCTTAAAATAGTCTTTGTTTTTTATATACACTATTGTCCTGCCTTGTGTTCACAAACTCCAGTGTGTTCTTATGTCTCATTTTTGCTCATAATACGTATCCTCATAACCTTCCTATGCTGGGAGATAGGTAACAGCAGGTATAAGAGAATGAATAATATTGTAAACATACTTTTTAAATGTAAAGTATCTTTCTCCTCACTTTATTTTTATGGTTTCTCATCTTCATTTTGGATTCCTTTTTCAGATCAGAATCTCTCTCTCCATATACCGCGTGGCTATCTACTATTTCTGACACAGATGCGCTGCTGGCTGAGTGGGACAAAAGCGGCGTTGTTACTGTTGATATGGGAGGTTGTGTCAGGCTTTGGGAAACCGGACTTGAACGTCTGCAGCGATCACTCATGGAATGGAGAAACATGATTGGACAAGAAGATGACAGACATATGCAGGTACCACTTGAATTGACCTTGCCTCTTAGGAGTGCAGCTTCTGGTATAAATTTAGTTCTAAATGCCACAGTTGGGAAAATTTCTGGCCCAACGAGTCAAATATAGTTGCCTAAATAGCTATAATAATTTTTGGACTGAGAAAAGACAAATCTATCAATGCAGGTAGTGAAAAAGTAAAAATGTACCTTTTTTTCTGTCAGCATTTAAATGTACAGGTTACTAACATTACAACATGCGAATACAATCAACTTTATTTTTTTTAACCATAAGCATTAACCAATTTCTGGTAGAACCTTTGCATCTCTTCTCACAATTACTACCATTTTTGTCAGCATCTCTACTTGCTACATAGAAAACAAAAACCTTGAGGATCTAAAGTACAGTAGATTATTAAAAGGCCAAGACCTCTATAGAAGATAAGGAAAATTATGCATCTGATAGAGTGTTTTTACTAATTTCCTTATTTCCAGATAGTGCAAATTTAGCAGTCATGATAAGTAGACCCAACTCTGCACTGGACAGAAATATAGGAATAGGCCACCAAAGTGAAAGGAAACCCAACAACTCCAGAAATGCCTCATCATCACCGAATCTAGTTGCCGTCTGGAACTAATGTGAAGAACGAGGAAGACTGTACACCCTTGGGTACTCAAGCATACAATAAAAGGATTTATTTGCAATTTATTTATTTTAATCTTCAGAACAAAACTCCTGTTTGCGTTTCATTCTTATCCAACAAAAAGAAATGTAGATTTCTGCCCATGTGTTGCTCCACAAAGCGCTAATTAACAGGCTAAATTCCTACAAACTATTCCATTGATACCTGATTAGTAATTATTATTTTATGTGATTATTTTTGTGACTTTCCTTAAAACAGAAATAGATATGTGAATGAATAATACATATTTCTCTTAGATTCTTAAAAGCTTATGGGGGAAAAAAAGTAAAAATAAAAAGCTTATGGGGAAAAAAAAGTAAAAATAAAAAGCTTATGGAACATTTTGAAAAATCTCAAACCAAAGTAGACTAGCAACCTCAAATCCTTTTGAAGCAGTTATAAATATATTAATTTAATTAAGCTAAAACAAATGTATTGTTCTAAAATAAACATGTTATTAAATGCAACAGATCTATTACAGCAACAGACTGAATGTAGGTCACTATCCATAACAATATTTAAGAAACTAATTAATTATGGTCTATTTCTTTTACTATTCTAAACATTAGTTTCCTCTCTCTTTGCATTAAACTCCTGTTTGATTACAGTTATTGGTACCTAATAGTAAATACTTTAGTGTTTGAGTTTCTTAAATTTTATTTGAGTATCTCATATATTATAGAAATCAAAGGTCATGTTTTTACTATGGTCAAGATTTGTGGCCTACATTAAGCTTATTTTTCACAACAGAACTTTAAAAAGGACTTTTACTCATGACTTTGACAACTGTTTTTGACTGCTGCAAAAATTAACACCTATTTGTGTTTTATCCATGTACCTCTCCTCTTCCCCATGACTTCTCTGACTATATTATGCATCTTTGCATAGTGATCGGTGCACAATAGGCAGTCACAATGTTTGTTTATGCTCACACTCCTGTATACTAAATTATACTGGTAATTGAAACTATTTGATAACAAATGGAATTCTTTTAAACTATCAGGAATTGTCTATTTGTTTTTATGTAACTGAATATTTATTGAATGAATATATATATAGTTATTAAGTTAGAAATAAACAGAATTATAGTATCGCACATCTCAAGAATAACGAAAATGTTTGGTTATACTATGCAGTGCAATATCTGAACTTTCCCCAAACCAAACATTTTCCTGGAAGTGTATGACTTTATGTCTCCAGTTTAAAGGTCAGCTATAGCAGAAATAAGACTTATTTAGTAATAGAGTTATCTAATTCAGAATTGAATGTTTGAAAATTACAATAGATGTTATGTAGGCTGGTTGGTTAGCTCAGTTGATTAGAGTGTGGTGCTGATAACACCAAGGTCCAGGATTCAATCCCTGTACTGGCTAGCCACTCCCCACCCTGCCTCCCAAAAAAAGAAAAGAAAAAAAAGAATAAATGTTATCTAAGATTTTTCTTCCATGTCTGAGGTTCCTTGATCCATTTTGGTTGATACTGAAAATGCATACTTACACACTCAAACTGTGAAACAAATTTGTGAGACAAGATTAATTGTTCAAATAGTCTGCCATTGTTTTAGCTTTTTGTCACATCTCTTCCTTCTCACTGCTTGGTAAATAACGAGACAGCATATTTAATTGCTCTTATTTAGTTATTTAGACTGGCTCATGTTATTATTTATAAGTGACCTGCACAAACAAATTGAAATAGGAATCATTCCAGGTGTAATGGTAATAACAAGCAAGTATTTGTGTTTTCCAAGTTTTCTTCCTGTTCGGTCCTTTAAACTATTATTTATTTATGGACTCTTTATTCAACATAGGTCTGCTCCTGATTTCAGAGCTTGGAAAATACCTTTCATAAAAGTATTGAGAAAAGAGAATATAGATTCTCAGTACTCTACTCACTTATCACTTGCAGGCTGCAAGCAGCTTCCCTGGACTGACAGAGTAACCTGATCTCCATCTAGTGGCCAAATGGACTCACTTTACATCAATGAAATTAACAGGCCTGCTTTGCACTGCAGAACTTTAACTCAGCCCCAGGCCTGCTGGCCTGGAAGGTTTACACAATCCTGTCTTGTGTGATTCCTGTTGGACAGGAGATGCTCCTTTAGGTCACCAGTGAAGGCCGGGCAAACAACCTGCCAAGCCGTCTGCCATGTACTGACCCCCATCTTTTCCTAATTTCTCTTTGTGGTAGCAAGAGAACTATCCATATTTAGATAAAAGATATAGTTGCATGCCTTATCGCTACCCTCCATGTCTTTGCTACATTTCAGCCTTGTAGAGTCTTTAGCTTTGAAGCCATTGTTGATTTGAAGTTTTGTTTTTGCTTAATGAATTCATTGTTATTTTTCTTTAATAAGCACAGCTTGCAAGAGAGTATTTATTGGGCTCTGCATATAAAATGTGTTCATTAATTTTACATGCTTTGACAGGAACATGTGTTTTTCCTATTATAAACAACTGTAACAACAAACTTAAAGTATTAGTATAACTGTAGTTCTAAGAGCCCATTATTAAGAATCCATATTTATTACTTTTAGACTACATATTTTCAGAAGCATGGGTAAGCATATAAGCCAGAATTCTTCTGGCTATATTTCATCATGTTCTCTATAAAGTATATTTTTCATATTTTTATCTAGTAACATTTGTATCCCTCCCAAGACTGTTAAAGCTACACCACCATTTTTCTCAGAAATCAAACCATCTTCTCTAAAACGCTCCTGGTGACTATTCTTGTGGGAGCAAAAAGGACTAAAAGTTTATAACTTTCAAATATTTTCTAGTTATAGTAAACAAATCAGAAAATAAATCCTCCATATATTACTGATAGAATCTCTTTGAGGTCTTTGATTAGTACTTCCTTAACTGTATACTTCACAAACAGATATGGTCTTCTGAAACAGTGTGGACTGTAACTTATTCATCCTTATAATTAAGACAGTGCCTCATACACAGTAGGCACATAATATATGGAAATAAAAAGGTGAGATGCATAGAAAGAAATACATGGAAAAATTAACTAAGTTTTATGAAACACCATTTATGCATTCCCCCTTTTAAAGAAAATATTCCAGGACTATGAATAAATGTAGTTTGATGTACTTAGGTAACTAAGCTTGGCCTTCTCTTTAACCACTAGTCCAGAGGTTTTGATTTTCTAAGATCTCAGTAGGATCTTAAGGCCTGCTTTTAGTTTTGGAAACAACTAGATTATTTAATTGGCTCTAGATTAGTAAATTTAGTTTTTCGATATATAGGTTAAATTATCCCCAGGTCCTCTGTGGGGATTTGCAATTCATTGTTCTTTTTAAGGAGTGTGGTCCTCTCTTATACTTCATTCTTTGCTTTGGTCAGTAACTATGAAAATACTTAAGAGTCTGATTCAGTGGGTCATTGTTATAGAAGGATCCATGTTTTGTAGGATGGTTATATGTATATATGTCTCTAGGAATCTTTCTTGGCCTAGAAAGGCAATGCCTTTTTTGAACTTTTACAATTTCCCACTGTATCTCCTAGCAGTGTGTCAGTAGAGCTGCCTTCAGCAAGATGGTCTAGCTGTTTGCCTGTATAGTAACACTTGGGCAATGCCTCTAACGAGTTTTTCATCATTTATTCCTGTTAGAGAGACCCCAGCCATGGGCATTCATTTTGAGTCTTTAAGGTTTTCAGGAATACCTAAAGAAAATGCAAAATCCCCTGGGACTATAATACCCAGTGGTGTGCTGATAAACCAGCTTTCATGGAGACTGGGGATGGGGGTGTTAATAATGTTTGCCAATTTCCATGTTATAAATACTCTCTCCATGACCAATTTCAAGCTATCAAAGGTTAACAGTCTGCTTGCAAAATTCCTGAATGTTTAGCAATTATCTCTCACAAGCTGGTACAATTTGGCTCCAGCATGCCCCTGGCTTAATTAAATCTTTATCAACTAACTCCCCAACAAAAATTATGACAGTTAACTAAGAGCAAGTCCTTTCAGAAATAAGGCAAAGGAAATGTGGATAGGGAGCAAGAGAGGTAAAAGAAAAGAGAAAGGAGTACTGGGAACACAGATAAGATGGTGTCATGTTATCTCTGGGAAATGTGGAATCCTGCAGTTGTCCCAGTTACAGATTAGCAATGCTCTTCCTGAACCAGGAAACTGGTCTGAGCAAAGAATTGAAGAGAAGTCTGCCTTCAACTAGATTGACACTCATGGATTTATGAGTAGGGGTCTCCTTTCTTGTAAACGCTATAGTACAGAGAGAAACTGCCCATTGATTTTTACATTTTTCCAGAAGAAATGCTTCCATTGAATAACATTATCAGAATTGCTAAATACAACTAAAATTAAATCAGCAACC